GACCGCAAACACTGCAGATCCTCGGTGTCCACGGTACGGTAGCTTTAGTCAGCTTCCTTCCCGGTCAAAGGTTTGCATGAGCGACCCCTCTTCCGTCTCTCTCACGAAGACACTGCTGATGATGCAGTCTAGGTGCATGTGGTTGCATCCACCATTTCTATGGATGCTAGCTCCGCATGTGCATGTTTTGGAGTTTTGGCTCGGCCACTTGTTCGTTTCCTCGGCTCAAGAGGTTCTGCAGCGTGACAATGCGACTCAGCGCAAACTAAGTTCTCATTGAAGAGCTGCGCAATGCACCGAAACCAGTACTGGATCGTGCGGCTTGCAGAAAACCGAAGTTGTGCAGAGTGCACTTAAGCAGATATGAGCAAGTACCTGATCAAGCTCAAAACTTGAACAACTGGTCTGAGCTCGCGACGATGCTTCAGTGGCCTTCTTTCTGCAAGGCACATAGCATGCGCAAAGGAATCTCAACACTATCCGCATCAGCATGGCAGCTGAAGGCACTACGGGCAAGTTTGCTCTCTGCTGTCTGGGCCAGGAGATACGTGCGTCTTGCGAGAGGAACTCGCGCGAACCAGACCACAATCAGCCACTTCCTCTGCAGCTAAACGATCCCTGGAAGGCCTTCATCAGCATTAGTACCGTCACCTGATCACGAGGCTCGCTCGAACCGAAGCTAGCCTAGCTCTTATTATGTCGGGCCAGAAGTGTGCCACACCATGGCCCCGGGAACTAATATTCTGGAGACAGGAGGGGGGACAGCACGAGAAACAGGTGGCCGCGAAAGCAAGACAAGACGGGGGTGTGAGACGAACGACATTGAGCCCACACCGTCGCAGTATGCACAGGAATCCCAGCACCGAGAAAACGGAAAAGCATCAGCTGGGCTTGAGCTTTGCTTCTGCACTTTGCAATAACACTTTGTGCACGGAGAGTTCCAGCGAAGCGAACTCATAGGTCATAGGCCTTGATTGAGCATTTGGCGCGCTGATCGAAGCCAGTAACAATGAAACTTGTCAGATGAACGCTGGGGTGTCGCAAAAGGTCTGCTACTGAGAACGAGCAGCCCGAGGTCAGGTGGCGATTGAAATACCCATAGGCCACAGGCATATAGGTTTAGGTACCCAAGAAGGACGAGGAAGCTTGAGAGCTGAGGTACGTTCCACTCGGCTTGGGGGCGGCGAACTCCGGGGTGTGGTTCCGGCCCTAAATAAACAGAAGCCCCACACGGTGGCTCACCTTTTGGCTCCCTCCGCGCATGGCATCTCGGATCTTCAAGGTCCGTATCACAGACACCATCGTTGCTCAGTTCTGCTTCTCGACACCACATCTTGCGCGTCTGCTTCCAGGGCCAAGGCTGCTCTTCGTCTTCCAGATTCTGCGGCTCGTCACGAGCATGGACTCCGGCCGGGTGCCCTGCTCCCAAGTTCCAACCGTTCAAGATGAAGGCATATCAGCACGGTATTGATCAACAGAGATGTTCACCATCACTGGGTCGGGAACAGAAGTCCCACGAGCAAACTGTCCAGGAAGACGGATTTGTGAACCAGCCTCCCCATTCGCACCTCATTGCACGCTTTCTGGGCCCCAAATTTGACGCAGTTGCCCAACCATTCTGTTCTGCAAGCTCCGCCAGCTTCTCTGCAGACAGGGAATTTCGAAGGGCTTTCGCCAGGAGATCGCACCTGAACCCAGACACTGGCAACAAATGCGGCGCTGCATGCATACTGCACACCCATACCTCCCCATCTTTGTCAAGCGCTGGTGAATGCGCTGCATCTTTTGGAAGGCCTTGGCGCCAGCACGTCTGACACGGAAAAGTTTACAGCATCTCAGGCCTGTGCCTGGGTCTCCGAATGCTTTTTGCAGGTGGCCCGGTAGTCTGCGAACTCTTGCACCTTGGTGCACATTTAGTCATAATAGCAAAACCGCAAGACCGCCAGAACAACAACTGACTGGTGCCAAGCTACAGGAAGAAGCCTCGACATCTCCAGTGTAAACCTGGAAGGCAGGACTTTCCGAATCCGCAAGGCATGAGATGCACCTTGACGACTGCCGCTAGGGGGCTCCGGGAACATTGCTTCCGGAAAAGCCGCTGGTGTTCCAACTTCTCCGAGCACTCGGGGTAGTTCAGAACTGTGTCCAGTCCTGCTGCCCAAAGTCAAGTACGTCTTCATTCAACAAAGTACGGCCCGACGGGCAGCATTCAGCGACTTCGAAACAAGTCCTGTGATTGCATCCTCCGGGCGACTCCTGTGCGGCCTGCCCGAACAGGCCCCAGATTCTCAACAGCATGGCTCCCAAAAGCAAACTTTCCAGATTGAATGCCAGGGAGACGCCGAGTGCTAACATCAGCCAAAGCCCACCCCCGGTCTGTCTTCTCATTAACATTTGAGCTTCTTGACATCTCACGACAATGAAGGCCCTCACGCTTGAGGAACCCGTGCTGCTTGGTAGTATATGCGCCTTGGCCTTACGCGAGGCAGGATCGGCAAAGTCTCAACATATCAGGGCATCTTAGCGCCAGACCCCCCGAGCCTCGTAGCACGAATCTACGAATCTGCTGTCCCGCAACTGTCTGTTGCTCTGTGCGCATATGCCAAGGAAAACATCCGCTGGGTCGACACTTGCAACAGTAACACGTTTCGTAACTTGGAGGAATCCCGCTCCAGAACACACGAAGCCACAGAAGTGCAAGTGCTCATCCCCTCCTACAGCTTGCGCCTAGCCCTCCGACCGGCACTCCTTGCATTTGCAAGAGATAACTGAACCGTCAAAGAATATCAAGAGAGAACAGGGCCTAGGATGGTTTTACGCTCTCACGACTCGGACATGCCAGGCGAGGTTAGGGTTCTGAAGCCAAGAAAGTCACCCGGATGTTCCGATTTGAGCTTCCTGGCCTGGACGAACTCGGTCTCGGCCTGGACAAGTGACACCGAGAACGGTGAACAGCTGCCATCACGAAAAGGACGCAACAAGATCAAGTCTAAGTGGGCACTGCTGTGACACGTGCCAGTCTGCACAAAGCTGGAAGTCGTAGAAGGCTCTTGTCGGAACTGCAGATTTGGCCGGAAGCGCCTCGTTAACACCATCACAGCAAGAGTTTCCCATTGCGGCCCGTTAAAACTTGGACTTGGGAAAACCTGTCATAAACGTTTAGCCTTAATGCTATAGAAGTCCTCCACATCTGTTCCAAGCAAGCAGCCTAGACGACAAAACAACACGGACTTTGCGTGTTCAGACGTCTCAGCACTGTCATGTCGATGGCAACCACATGCTCTGAACCAGAAAGGGCGGACCCATCAGCATAAGAAACAAGGAGTCAACAAACATAACAACTCACCGCTCATCACTGTCAGTCAAGGCTTGGAGTGAAAGCACAAGGACGAGCAAATACTCTGCTGCACGTTGTTTTCCATGCACAAAGGCTCTCGGCGCGGAGCATCTCGAAACGGACATACACATTGGTTCATGGCAAACTGTCCAGCCCAGAATGTCGCAAGCAAACACATTCAGGTCTGTGCGAGCGGAATGGTAGCGAATCTAACGCAGTGAAAGAGCCGACACCATTCCAAAGTTTGGTCGTTCAACTTGCACCCGTCAAGGTTGAGCATGCGATCCGAATCCGTTCTTACGGCCTGGTCTGGCGCCGGGTTTTGGTTTGTATGGACCTATTCTGACCTCGCAGCTGACCCGTGAAGTTCAGCCGGCACAAGTATGCCAATGACCCTCTCTGAAGCCTCTTGGGGCTCGCAGCAGTCAGGTGCCAAATTACAGCAAGACAAAGCTGCACCTCGGATTTTCTGGAACATCCACGGCGTGAAGCCATTGTCCGATCTTAGCCCCGTGCCGCACTGCGGCCTCCAGCAGATCTCGAGGCAGCGCCACTTGTAACGAAGTGATCGGCCTGCTCGGCACCTAAGCGGCTCCACCACAATGGGCAACTCTTCCCCATTCCAACACATTGGCGCACGTGACTGGGGCTACAACGGCGTGGGCGGTGCAGACCCGCTGTTCGTAGGCCCTGAAATACAGAATGCAAGCCGACGCCGTGGAGTAAAACAATAAGTACTGTTACCGTAACACAATGGCCATAGGGTGCGTGCTGGTAGAACTTGATGATCAGGGATGTGCATATAGGCCCTCCCCTGGAGCGACGGACGAGGCTGCCCGCAAAATACATGTTGCAAGAGAACAGCGAATCGTCAACCTCAGCATCGGTGGCAACTCCTGGAGATGACAACACCTTGGCCAGCAATAGCTACATTTCTAGGAGATGCTACGCGTTCTCACATGTCTTTCAAAGGGGTACGCAGATCTGGATTGCCAGCAAGTCCATGTCGGTCAAGTCCGTTCTGAAGGAATCCCTGACAAACCTCGAGAACCCTAAAAAACCTTGATTCGTGTTCGAAAACCCTGACGGGCAGATAAAGAAATACCATATCGCACGACATCTCAAGGAGCAAGCAAACCCAAGGCCAACACGTCGAAGATATGAAGGCTTGGGCTGCAGTAAACGGGCCTCCGTTCCGCACTCGCAAAAAAACAAACACACGTGTCATCTGCCACATCCCTTGCAGTTGATTCGTTCGAGAGTCTTGACCGAGGCTTTTGCACCAAGTGTGCTGGTTCATGCGCAGCTCACCGATGATCTGCGAGAAAACCAACAGCCTCCCCGACGGTGGCCAAATCCAGCTGCCACGGGCTTTGCCAAATCTGCACGAATGGCTTGTCGGTGATGTCGGTCACATTGCCTGCAGCTGTAAGCTGGCAAATCACGATGAGAATGTCGGGATGAACGGCCAGCCTTCAGTCATGGTGCTCAGTAGTCGAAGATGGGGGATCTCCATAACCCAATAGCTCTCGACGATGCCTGCCTCCTCAGCAAGACTACACCAAAAACAGCGCAGAAGGCATGCATCTACAAAGACCAGCACGACCAGTTGGCAGTAGCAAGCCCCCAGCAGAGGAACAAATTTCCATGACGGGGACCACAGCTAGTTCAGCATCTTCGTAATCTCGTAATCTTCGGGAAGATCCTTCCGAATTATTGGCCGACTGCCGACTTGCGAATTCACTGAGCTATAGCATTACAACCCAAGGCCTCGTGTCGCGTGACAAACGTCGGCACCAAAGTAGCCCTCAACATCACAAGATTACGGGAACAGCTGTGCCGAGTCCAGATGGGCTGAATAAGCTTCTTGCGGTCCACTGACCAAGACGACGTGATTGAAGCAGCCGTTAAGGACGGCAATGATGTCGCCGAACTTCGTGTGGTTGAACGACGTCTCGGTCTGAACTGAAGCCTGTTGTGCAGAAAAACACGAAAGCATGGAAAACCCGCTTTTGCACTGAAGCCGTCGCTTGCGCCGGCCTCCAAAGTGCTCACCGTTGCGGAAACTGCACAATCGCGCGAGCACCTGATTCGAGAAAACGCTCGATAGAATGCTTATGGACTCCCCGAAGGTTGTGGTCGCTGTTCTGTCCAGGGAGTTTGAGGAAAACCTGTTTTCCCGCGAGCAAATGAAGCTGGACTATGGTCATTCGTCGCGGACGGCATCTAATCTGACGATGTTGGACCCGAGGTATTTGCAAAACGCCTGACAAGCCGCATGACAAACTTTCATCCCTTTGCGATTTCAGTGAGTCTGCGGCAAAACTCCATCCTTAACAGGTGTGAATATTTCACACGCCCCTTTTTTGGCATGCCCTTTCTTCGCATCCTCGGCAGTGCCAAACTGGTATGTACTGTATTAGTCTCGAATATCGCAGTTCTTTTTACAAACTCAGCGTCTGAAGATCTCATAGCGATGTATTTCGGAGATTACCATACCTGTTCCCATGCATGAAGCGACAAGAGGACAAGCAAACCATTGATTCATGTCGGAGGCAAGAAACCGATTTTTGCTTTCCCTAGAAACCTTTGTTGACAAGCCAAGCTTCAACAGGAGTTTCAGCTTGCTTGCGGAACTTGTGCCGTTGAATGGTAGGTTTCGCGTTGCGTACAGGATGCCAGCACTTGCTTACGAACTTGTCGGTGCAAGATTGTGTAACAGTTTGTACCGGCGTGTGCCGTCCCTTTTGACTTGATGGGCGCGGTCTGCAGCTGTCCTCAGACTGAGGTAATGTGTGGCGGTATGATATCTCTTGCTTTGCTGCTTGGACCTGCGACGCTTCTTGTTCTGATTTGAGCAAAAAAAAGGGTCCAGAGCTGAGGTGCTGAGATTGTTAAACACAGCAAATTCTCATTGAAGAGCTGCGCAATGCACCGAAACCAGTACTGGATCGTGCGGCTTGCAGAAAACCGAAGTTGTGCAGAGTGCACTTAAGCAGATATGAGCAAGTACCTGATCAAGCTCAAAACTTGAACAACTGGTCTGAGCTCGCGACGATGCTTCAGTGGCCTTCTTTCTGCAAGGCACATAGCATGCGCAAAGGAATCTCAACACTATCCGCATCAGCATGGCAGCTGAAGGCGCTACGGGCAAGTTTGCTCTCTGCTGTCTGGGCCAGGAGATACGTGCGTCTTGCGAGAGGAACTCGCCCGAACCAGACCACAATCAGCCACTTCCTCTGCAGCTAAACGATCCCTGGAACGCCTTCATCAGCATTAGTACCGTCACCTGATCACGAGGCTCGCTCGAACCGAAGCTTGCCTAGCTCTTATTATGTCGGGCCAGAAGTGTGCCACACCATGGCCCCGGGAACTAAGATTCTGGAGACAGGAGGGGGGACAGCACGAGAAACAGGTGGCCGCGAAAGCAAGACAAGACGGGGGTGTGAGACGAACGACATTGAGCCCACACCGTCGCAGTATGCACAGGAATCCCAGCACCGAGAAAACGGAAAAGCATCAGCTGGGCTTGAGCTTTGCTTCTGCACTTTGCAATAACACTTTGTGCACGGAGAGTTCCAGCGAAGCGAACTCATAGGTCATAGGCCTTGATTGAGCATTTGGCGCGCTGATCGAAGCCAGTAACAATGAAACTTGTCAGATGAACGCTGGGGTGTAGCAAAAGGTCTGCTACTGAGAACGAGCAGCCCGAGGTCAGGTGGCGATTGAAATACCCATAGGCCACAGGCATATAGGTTTAGGTACCCAAGGAGGACGAGGAAGCTTGAGAGCTGAGGTACGTTCCACTCGGCTTGGGGGCGGCGAACTCCGGGGTGTGGTTCCGGCCCTAAATAAACAGAAGCCCCACACGGTGGCTCACCTTTTGGCTCCCTCCGCGCATGGCATCTCGGATCTTCAAGGTCCGTATCACAGACACCATCGTTGCTCAGTTCTGCTTCTCGACACCACATCTTGTGCGTCTGCTTCCAGGGCCAAGGCTGCTCTTCGTCTTCCAGATTCTGCGGCTCGTCACGAGCATGGACTCCGGCCGGGTGCCCTGCTCCCAAGTTCCAACCGTTCAAGATGAAGGCATATCAGCACGGTATTGATCAACAGAGATGTTCACCATCACTGGGTCGGGAACAGAAGTCCCACGAGCAAACTGTCCAGGAAGACGGACTTGTGAACCAGCCTCCCCATTCGCACCTCATTGCACGCTTTCTGGGCCCCAAATTTGACGCAGTTGCCCAACCATTCTGTTCTGCAAGCTCCGCCAGCTTCTCTGCAGACAGGGAATTTCGAAGGGCTTTCGCCAGGAGATCGCACCTGAACCCAGACACTGGCAACAAATGCGGCGCTGCATGCATACTGCACACCCATACCTCCCCATCTTTGTCAAGCGCTGGTGAATGCGCTGCATCTTTTGGAAGGCCTTGGCGCCAGCACGTCTGACACGGAAAAGTTTACAGCATCTCAGGCCTGTGCCTGGGTCTCCGAATGCTTTTTGCAGGTGGCCCGGTAGTCTGCGAACTCTTGCACCTTGGTGCACATTTAGTCATAATAGCAAAACCGCAAGACCGCCAGAACAACAACTGACTGGTGCCAAGCTACAGGAAGAAGCCTCGACATCTCCAGTGTAAACCTGGAAGGCAGGACTTTCCGAATCCGCAAGGCATGAGATGCACCTTGACGACTGCCGCTAGGGGGCTCCGGGAACATTGCTTCCGGAAAAGCCGCTGGTGTTCCAACTTCTCCGAGCACTCGGGGTAGTTCAGAACTGTGTCCAGTCCTGCTGCCCAAAGTCAAGTACGTCTTCATTCAACAAAGTACGGCCCGACGGGCAGCATTCAGCGACTTCGAAACAAGTCCTGTGATTGCATCCTCCGGGCGACTCCTGTGCGGCCTGCCCGAACAGGCCCCAGATTCTCAACAGCATGGCTCCCAAAAGCAAACTTTCCAGATTGAATGCCAGGGAGACGCCGAGTGCTAACATCAGCCAAAGCCCACCCTCGGTCTGTCTTCTAATTAACATTTGAGCTTCTTGACATCTCACGACAATGAAGGCCCTCACGCTTGAGGAACCCGTGCTGCTTGGTAGTATATGCGCCTTGGCCTTACGCGAGGCAGGATCGGCAAAGTCTCAACATATCAGGGCATCTTAGCGCCAGACCCCCCGAGCCTCGTAGCACGAATCTACGAATCTGCTGTCCCGCAACTGTCTGTTGCTCTGTGCGCATATGCCAAGGAAAACATCCGCTGGGTCGACACTTGCAACAGTAACACGTTTCGTAACTTGGAGGAATCCCGCTCCAGAACACACGAAGCCACAGAAGTGCAAGTGCTCATCCCCTCCTACAGCTTGCGCCTAGCCCTCCGACCGGCACTCCTTGCATTTGCAAGAGATAACTGAACCGTCAAAGAATATCAAGAGAGAACAGGGCCTAGGATGGTTTTACGCTCTCACGACTCGGACATGCCAGGCGAGGTTAGGGTTCTGAAGCCAAGAAAGTCACCCGGATGTTCCGATTTGAGCTTCCTGGCCTGGACGAACTCGGTCTCGGCCTGGACAAGTGACACCGAGAACGGTGAACAGCTGCCATCACGAAAAGGACGCAACAAGATCAAGTCTAAGTGGGCACTGCTGTGACACGTGCCAGTCTGCACAAAGCTGGAAGTCGTAGAAGGCTCTTGTCGGAACTGCAGATTTGGCCGGAAGCGCCTCGTTAACACCATCACAGCAAGAGTTTCCCATTGCGGCCCGTTAAAACTTGGACTTGGGAAAACCTGTCATAAACGTTTAGCCTTAATGCTATAGAAGTCCTCCACATCTGTTCCAAGCAAGCAGCCTAGACGACAAAACAACACGGACTTTGCGTGTTCAGACGTCTCAGCACTGTCATGTCGATGGCAACCACATGCTCTGAACCAGAAAGGGCGGACCCATCAGCATAAGAAACAAGGAGTCAACAAACATAACAACTCACCGGTCATCACTGTCAGTCAAGGCTTGGAGTGAAAGCACAAGGACGAGCAAATACTCTGCTGCACGTTGTTTTCCATGCACAAAGGCTCTCGGCGCGGAGCATCTCGAAACGGACATACGCATTGGTTCATGGCAAACTGTCCAGCCCAGAATGTCGCAAGCAAACACATTCAGGTCTGTGCGAGCGGAATGGTAGCGAATCTAACGCAGTGAAAGAGCCGACACCATTCCAAAGTTTGGTCGTTCAACTTGCACCCGTCAAGGTTGAGCATGCGATCCGAATCCGTTCTTACGGCCTGGTCTGGCGCCGGGTTTTGGTTTGTATGGACCTATTCTGACCTCGCAGCTGACCCGTGAAGCTCAGCCGGCACAAGTATGCCAATGACCCTCTCTGAAGCCTCTTGGGGCTCGCAGCAGTCAGGTGCCAAATTACAGCAAGACAAAGCTGCACCTCGGATTTTCTGGAACATCCACGGCGTGAAGCCATTGTCCGATCTTAGCCCCGTGCCGCACTGCGGCCTCCAGCAGATCTCGAGGCAGCGCCACTTGTAACGAAGTGATCGGCCTGCTCGGCACCTAAGCGGCTCCACCACAATGGGCAACTCTTCCCCATTCCAACACATTGGCGCACGTGACTGGGGCTACAACGGCGTGGGCGGTGCAGACCCGCTGTTCGTAGGCCCTGAAATACAGAATGCAAGCCGACGCCGTGGAGTAAAACAATAAGTACTGTTACCGTAACACAATGGCCATAGGGTGCGTGCTGGTAGAACTTGATGATCAGGGATGTGCATATAGGCCCTCCCCTGGAGCGACGGACGAGGCTGCCCGCAAAATACATGTTGCAAGAGAACAGCGAATCGTCAACCTCAGCATCGGTGGCAACTCCTGGAGATGACAACACCTTGGCCAGCAATAGCTACATTTCTAGGAGATGCTACGCGTTCTCACATGTCTTTCAAAGGGGTACGCAGATCTGGATTGCCAGCAAGTCCATGTCGGTCAAGTCCGTTCTGAAGGAATCCCTGACAAACCTCGAGAACCCTAAAAAACCTTGATTCGTGTTCGAAAACCCTGACGGGCAGATAAAGAAATACCATATCGCACGACATCTCAAGGAGCAAGCAAACCCAAGGCCAACACGTCGAAGATATGAAGGCTTGGGCTGCAGTAAACGGGCCTCCGTTCCGCACTCGCAAAAAAACAAACACACGTGTCATCTGCCACATCCCTTGCAGTTGATTCGTTCGAGAGTCTTGACCGAGGCTGTGGCACCAAGTGTGCTGGTTCATGCGCAGCTCACCGATGATCTGAGTGGACATGCAAACCGATACACGCAAATAGCAGATGCGAGAAAACCAACAGCCTCCCCGACGGTGGCCAAATCCAGCTGCCACGGGCTTTGCCAAATCTGCACGAATGGCTTGTCGGTGATGTCGGTCACATTGCCTGCAGCTGTAAGCTGGCAAATCACGATGAGAATGTCGGGATGAACGGCCAGCCTTCAGTCATGGTGCTCAGTAGTCGAAGATGGGGGATCTCTATAACCCAATAGCTCTCGACGATGCCTGCCTCCTCAGCAAGACTACACCAAAAACAGCGCAGAAGGCATGCATCTACAAAGACCAGCACGACCAGTTGGCAGTAGCAAGCCCCCAGCAGAGGAACAAATTTCCATGACGGGGACCACAGCTAGTTCAGCATCTTCGTAATCTTCGGGAAGATCCTTCCGAATTATTGGCCGACTGCCGACTTGCGAATTCACTGAGCTATAGCATTACAACCCAAGGCCTCGTGTCGCGTGACAAACGTCGGCACCAAAGTAGCCCTCAACATCACAAGATTACGGGAACAGCTGTGCCGAGTCCAGATGGGCTGAATAAGCTTCTTGCGGTCCACTGACCAAGACGACGTGATTGAAGCAGCCGTTAAGGACGGCAATGATGTCGCCGAACTTCGTGTGGTTGAACGACGTCTCGGTCTGAACTGAAGCCTGTTGTGCAGAAAAACACGAAAGCATGGAAAACCCGCTTTTGCACTGAAGCCGTCGCTTGCGCCGGCCTCCAAAGTGCTCACCGTTGCGGAAACTGCACAATCGCGCGAGCACCTGATTCGAGAAAACGCTCGATAGAATGCTTATGGACTCCCCGAAGGTTGTGGTCGCTGTTCTGTCCAGGGAGTTTGAGGAAAACCTGTTTTCCCGCGAGCAAATGAAGCTGGACTATGGTCATTCGTCGCGGACGGCATCTAATCTGACGATGTTGGACCCGAGGTATTTGCAAAACGCCTGACAAGCCGCATGACAAACTTTCATCCCTTTGCGATTTCAGTGAGTCTGCGGCAAAACTCCATCCTTCACAGGTGTGAATATTTCACACACCCCTTTTTTGGCATGCCCTTTCTTCGCATCCTCGGCAGTGCCAAACTGGTATGTACTGTATTAGTCTCGAATATCGCAGTTCTTTTTACAAACTCAGCGTCTGAAGATCTCATAGCGATGTATTTCGGAGATTACCATACCTGTTCCCATGCATGAAGCGACAAGAGGACAAGCAAACCATTGATTCATGTCGGAGGCAAGAAACCGATTTTTGCTTTCCCTAGAAACCTTTGTTGACAAGCCAAGCTTCAACAGGAGTTTCAGCTTGCTTGCGGAACTTGTGCCGTTGAATGGTAGGTTTCGCGTTGCGTACAGGATGCCAGCACTTGCTTACGAACTTGTCGGTGCAAGATTGTGTAACAGTTTGTACCGGCGTGTGCCGTCCCTTTTGACTTGATGGGCGCGGTCTGCAGCTGTCCTCAGACTGAGGTAATGTGTGGCGGTATGATATCTCTTGCTTTGCTGCTTGGACCTGCGACGCTTCTTGTTCTGATTTGAGCAAAAAAAGGGTCCAGAGCTGAGGTGCTGAGATTGTTAAACACAGCAAGTTCTCATTGAAGAGCTGCGCAATGCACCGAAACCAGTACTGGATCGTGCGGCTTGCAGAAAACCGAAGTTGTGCAGAGTGCACTTAAGCAGATATGAGCAAGTACCTGATCAAGCTCAAAACTTGAACAACTGGTCTGAGCTCGCGACGATGCTTCAGTGGCCTTCTTTCTGCAAGGCACATAGCATGCGCAAAGGAATCTCAACACTATCCGCATCAGCATGGCAGCTGAAGGCACTACGGGCAAGTTTGCTCTCTGCTGCCTGGGCCAGGAGATACGTGCGTCTTGCGAGAGGAACTCGCCCGAACCAGACCACAATCAGCCACTTCCTCTGCAGCTAAACGATCCCTGGAACGCCTTCATCAGCATTAGTACCGTCACCTGATCACGAGGCTCGCTCGAACCGAAGCTAGCCTAGCTCTTATTATGTCGGGCCAGAAGTGTGCCACACCATGGCCCCGGGAACTAATATTCTGGAGACAGGAGGGGGGACAGCACGAGAAACAGGTGGCCGCGAAAGCAAGACAAGACGGGGGTGTGAGACGAACGACATTGAGCCCACACCGTCGCAGTATGCACAGGAATCCCAGCACCGAGAAAACGGAAAAGCATCAGCCGGGCTTGAGCTTTGCTTCTGCACTTTGCAATAACACTTTGTGCACGGAGAGTTCAGGCGAAGCGAACTCATAGGTCATAGGCCTTGATTGAGCATTTGGCGCGCTGATCGAAGCCAGTAACAATGAAACTTGTCAGATGAACGCTGGGGTGTAGCAAAAGGTCTGCTACTGAGAACGAGCAGCCCGAGGTCAGGTGGCGATTGAAATACCCATAGGCCACAGGCATATAGGTTTAGGTACCCAAGGAGGACGAGGAAGCTTGAGAGCTGAGGTACGTTCCACTCGGCTTGGGGGCGGCGAACTCCGGGGTGTGGTTCCGGCCCTAAATAAACAGAAGCCCCACACGGTGGCTCACCTTTTGGCTCCCTCCGCGCATGGCATCTCGGATCTTCAAGGTCCGTATCACAGACACCATCGTTGCTCAGTTCTGCTTCTCGACACCACATCTTGTGCGTCTGCTTCCAGGGCCAAGGCTGCTCTTCGTCTTCCAGATTCTGCGGCTCGTCACGAGCATGGACTCCGGCCGGGTGCCCTGCTCCCAAGTTCCAACCGTTCAAGATGAAGGCATATCAGCACGGTATTGATCAACAGAGATGTTCACCATCACTGGGTCGGGAACAGAAGTCCCACGAGCAAACTGTCCAGGAAGACGGACTTGTGAACCAGCCTCCCCATTCGCACCTCATTGCACGCTTTCTGGGCCCCAAATTTGACGCAGTTGCCCAACCATTCTGTTCTGCAAGCTCCGCCAGCTTCTCTGCAGACAGGGAATTTCGAAGGGCTTTCGCCAGGAGATCGCACCTGAACCCAGACACTGGCAACAAATGCGGCGCTGCATGCATACTGCACACCCATACCTCCCCATCTTTGTCAAGCGCTGGTGAATGCGCTGCATCTTTTGGAAGGCCTTGGCGCCAGCACGTCTGACACGGAAAAGTTTACAGCATCTCAGGCCTGTGCCTGGGTCTCCGAATGCTTTTTGCAGGTGGCCCGGTAGTCTGCGAACTCTTGCACCTTGGTGCACATTTAGTCATAATAGCAAAACCGCAAGACCACCAGAACAACAACTGACTGGTGCCAAGCTACAGGAAGAAGCCTCGACATCTCCAGTGTAAACCTGGAAGGCAGGACTTTCCGAATCCGCAAGGCATGAGATGCACCTTGACGACTGCCGCTAGGGGGCTCCGGGAACATTGCTTCCGGAAAAGCCGCTGGTGTTCCAACTTCTCCGAGCACTCGGGGTAGTTCAGAACTGTGTCCAGTCCTGCTGCCCAAAGTCAAGTACGTCTTCATTCAACAAAGTACGGCCCGACGGGCAGCATTCAGCGACTTCGAAACAAGTCCTGTGATTGCATCCTCCGGGCGACTCCTGTGCGGCCTGCCCGAACAGGCCCCAGATTCTCAACAGCATGGCTCCCAAAAGCAAACTTTCCAGGTTGAATGCCAGGGAGACGCCGAGTGCTAACATCAGCCAAAGCCCACCCCCGGTCTGTCTTCTCATTAACATTTGAGCTTCTTGACATCTCACGACAATGAAGGCCCTCACGCTTGAGGAACACGTGCTGCTTGGTAGTATATGCGCCTTGGCCTTACGCGAGGCAGGATCGGCAAAGTCTCAACATATCAGGGCATCTTAGCGCCAGACCCCCCGAGCCTCGTAGCACGAATCTACGAATCTGCTGTCCCGCAACTGTCTGTTGCTCTGTGCGCATATGCCAAGGAAAACATCCGCTGGGTCGACACTTGCAACAGTAACACGTTTCGTAACTTGGAGGAATCCCGCTCCAGAACACACGAAGCCACAGAAGTGCAAGTGCTCATCCCCTCCTACAGCTTGCGCCTAGCCCTCCGACCGGCACTCCTTGCATTTGCAAGAGATAACTGAACCGTCAAAGAATATCAAGAGAGAACAGGGCCTAGGATGGTTTTACGCTCTCACGACTCGGACATGCCAGGCGAGGTTAGGGTTCTGAAGCCAAGAAAGTCACCCGGATGTTCCGATTTGAGCTTCCTGGCCTGGACGAACTCGGTCTCGGCCTGGACAAGTGACACCGAGAACGGTGAACAGCTGCCATCACGAAAAGGACGCAACAAGATCAAGTCTAAGTGGGCACTGCTGTGACACGTGCCAGTCTGCACAAAGCTGGAAGTCGTAGAAGGCTCTTGTCGGAACTGCAGATTTGGCCGGAAGCGCCTCGTTAACACCATCACAGCAAGAGTTTCCCATTGCGGCCCGTTAAAACTTGGACTTGGGAAAACCTGTCATAAACGTTTAGCCTTAATGCTATAGAAGTCCTCCACATCTGTTCCAAGCAAGCAGCCTAGACGACAAAACAACACGGACTTTGCGTGTTCAGACGTCTCAGCACTGTCATGTCGATGGCAACCACATGCTCTGAACCAGAAAGGGCGGACCCATCAGCATAAGAAACAAGGAGTCAACAAACATAACAACTCACCGCTCATCACTGTCAGTCAAGGCTTGGAGTGAAAGCACAAGGACGAGCAAATACTCTGCTGCACGTTGTTTTCCATGCACAAAGGCTCTCGGCGCGGAGCATCTCGAAACGGACATACACATTGGTTCATGGCAAACTGTCCAGCCCAGAATGTCGCAAGCAAACACATTCAGGTCTGTGCGAGCGGAATGGTAGCGAATCCAACGCAGTGAAAGAGCCGACACCATTCCAAAGTTTGGTCGTTCAACTTGCACCCGTCAAGGTTGAGCATGCGATCCGAATCCGTTCTTACGGCCTGGTCTGGCGCCGGGTTTTGGTTTGTATGGACCTATTCTGACCTCGCAGCTGACCCGTGAAGCTCAGCCGGCACAAGTATGCCAATGACCCTCTCTGAAGCCTCTTGGGGCTCGCAGCAGTCAGGTGCCAAATTACAGCAAGACAAAGCTGCACCTCGGATTTTCTGGAACATCCACGGCGTGAAGCCATTGTCCGATCTTAGCCCCGTGCCGCACTGCGGCCTCCAGCAGATCTCGAGGCAGCGCCACTTGTAACGAAGTGATCGGCCTGCTCGGCACCTAAGCGGCTCCACCACAATGGGCAACTCTTCCCCATTCCAACACATTGGCGCACGTGACTGGGGCTACAACGGCGCGGGCGGTGCAGACCCGCTGTTCGTAGGCCCTGAAATACAGAATGCAAGCCGACGCCGTGGAGTAAAACAATAAGTACTGTTACCGTAACACAATGGCCATCGGGAGCGTGCTGGTAGAACTTGATGATCAGGGATGTGCATATAGGCCCTCCCCTGGAGCGACGGACGAGGCTGCCCGCAAAATACATGTTGCAAGAGAACAGCGAATCGTCAACCTCAGCATCGGTGGCAACTCCTGGAGATGACAACACCTTGGCCAGCAATAGCTACATTTCTAGGAGATGCTACGCGTTCTCACATGTCTTTCAAAGGGGTACGCAGATCTGGATTGCCAGCAAGTCCATGTCGGTCAAGTCCGTTCTGAAGGAATCCCTGACAAACCTCGAGAACCCTAAAAAAACCTTGATTCGTGTTCGAAAACCCTGACGGGCAGATAAAGAAATACCATATCGCACGACATCTCAAGGAGCAAGCAAACCCAAGGCCAACACGTCGAAGATATGAAGGCTTGGGCTGCAGTAAACGGGCCTCCGTTCCGCACTCGCAAAAAAACAAACACACGTGTCATCTGCCACATCCCTTGCAGTTGATTCGTTCGAGAGTCTTGACCGAGGCTGTGGCACCAAGTGTGCTGGTTCGCAGCTCACCGATGATCTGAGTGGACATGCAAACCGATACACGCAAATAGCAGATGCGAGAAAACCAACAGCCTCCCCGACGGTGGCCAAATCCAGCTGCCACGGGCTTTGCCAAATCTGCACGAATGGCTTGTCGGTGATGTCGGTCACATTGCCTGCAGCTGTAAGCTGGCAAATCACGATGAGAATGTCGGGATGAACGGCCAGCCTTCAGTCATGGTGCTCAGTAGTCGAAGATGGGGGATCTCTATAACCCAATAGCTCTCGACGATGCCTGCCTCCTCAGCAAGACTACACCAAAAACAGCGCAGAAGGCATGCATCTACAAAGACCAGCACGACCAGTTGGCAGTAGCAAGCCCCCAGCAGAGGAACAAATTTCCATGACGGGGACCACAGCTAGTTCAGCATCTTCGTAATCTTCGGGAAGATCCTTCCGAAATATTGGCCGACTGCCGACTTGCGAATTCACTGAGCTATAGCATTACAACCCAAGGCCTCGTGTCGCGTGACAAACGTCGGCACCAAAGTAGCCCTCAACATCACAAGATTACGGGAACAGCTATGCCGAGTCCAGATGGGCTGAATAAGCTTCTTGCGGTCCACTGACCAAGACGACGTGATTGAAGCAGCCGTTAAGGACGGCAATGATGTCGCCGAACTTCGTGTGGTTGAACGACGTCTCGGTCTGAACTGAAGCCTGTTGTGCAGAAAAACACGAAAGCATGGAAAACCCGCTTTTGCACTGAAGCCGTCGCTTGCGCCGGCCTCCAAAGTGCTCACCGTTGCGGAAACTGCACAATCGCGCGAGCACCTGATTCGAGAAAACGCTCGATAGAATGCTTATGGACTCCCCGAAGGTTGTGGTCACTGTTCTGTCCAGGGAGTTTGAGGAAAACCTGTTTTCCCGCGAGCAAATGAAGCTGGACTGTGGTCATTCGTCGAGGACGGCATCTAATCTGACGATGTTGGACCCGAGGTATTTGCAAAACGCCTGACAAGCCGCATGACAAACTTTCATCCCTTTGCGATTTCAGTGAGTCTGCGGCAAAACTCCATCCTTCACAGGTGTGAATATTTCACACACCCCTTTTTTGGCATGCCCTTTCTTCGCATCCTCGGCAGTGCCAAACTGGTATGTACTGTATTAGTCTCGAATATCGCAGTTCTTTTTACAAACTCAGCGTCTGAAGATCTCATAGCGATGTATTTCGGAGATTACCATACCTGTTCCCATGCATGAAGCGACAAGAGGACAAGCAAACCATTGATTCATGTCGGAGGCAAGAAACCGATTTTTGCTTTCCCTAGAAACCTTTGTTGACAAGCCAAGCTTCAACAGGAGTTTCAGCTTGCTTGCGGAACTTGTGCCGTTGAATGGTAGGTTTCGCGTTGCGTACAGGATGCCAGCACTTGCTTACGAACTTGTCGGTGCAAGATTGTGTAACAGTTTGTACCGGCGTGTGCCGTTCCTTTTGACTTGATGGGCGCGGTCTGCAGCCGTCCTCAGACTGAGGTAATGTGTGGCGGTATGATATCTGTCGCTTTGCTGCTTGGACCTGCGACGCTGAGATTGTTAAACACAGCAAGTTCTCATTGAAGAGCTGCGCAATGCACCGAAACCAGTACTGGATCGTGCGGCTTGCAGAAAACCGAAGTTGTGCAGAGTGCACTTAAGCAGATATGAGCAAGTACCTGATCAAGCTCAAAACTTGAACAACTGGTCTGAGCTCGCGACGATGCTTCAGTGGCCTTCTTTCTGCAAGGCACATAGCATGCGCAAAGGAATCTCAACACTATCCGCATCAGCATGGCAGCTGAAGGCACTACGGGCAAGTTTGCTCTCTGCTGTCTGGGCCAGGAGATACGTGCGTCTTGCGAGAGGAACTCGCGCGAACCAGACCACAATCAGCCACTTCCTCTGCAGCTAAACGATCCCTGGAACGCCTTCATCAGCATTAGTACCGTCACCTGATCACGAGGCTCGCTCGAACCGAAGCTAGCCTAGCTCTTATTATGTCGGGCCAGAAGTGTGCCACACCATGGCCCCGGGAACTAATATTCTGGAGACAGGAGGGGGGACAGCACGAGAAACAGGTGGCCGCGAAAGCAAGACAAGACGGGGGTGTGAGACGAACGACATTGAGCCCACACCGTCGCAGTATGCACAGGAATCCCAGCACCGAGAAAACGGAAGAGCATCAGCTGGGCTTGAGCTTTGCTTCTGCACTTTGCAATAACACTTTGTGCACGGAGAGTTCCAGCGAAGCGAACTCATAGGTCATAGGCCTTGATTGAGCATTTGGCGCGCTGATCGAAGCCAGTAACAATGAAACTTGTCAGATGAACGCTGGGGTGTAGCAAAGGAAGCTTGAGAGCTGAGGTACGTTCCACTCGGCTTGGGGGCGGCGAACTCCGGGGTGTGGTTCCGGCCCTAAATAAACAGAAGCCCCACACGGTGGCTCACCTTTTGGCTCCCTCCGCGCATGGCATCTCGGATCTTCAAGGTCTGTATCACAGACACCATCGTTGCTCAGTTCTGCTTCTCGACACCACATCTTGCGCGTCTGCTTCCAGGGCCAAGGCTGCTCTTCGTCTTCCAGATTCTGCGGCTCGTCACGAGCATGGACTCCGGCCGGGTGCCCTGCTCCCAAGTTCCAACCGTTCAAGATGAAGGCATATCAGCACGGTATTGATCAACAGAGATGTTCACCATCACTGGGTCGGGAACAGAAGTCCCACGAGCAAACTGTCCAGGAAGACGGATTTGTGAACCAGCCTCCCCATTCGCACCTCATTGCACGCTTTCTGGGCCCCAAATTTGACGCAGTTGCCCAACCATTCTGTTCTGCAAGCTCCGCCAGCTTCTCTGCAGACAGGGAATTTCGAAGGGCTTTCGCCAGGAGATCGCACCTGAACCCAGACACTGGCAACAAATGCGGCGCTGCATGCATACTGCACACCCATACCTCCCCATCTTTGTCAAGCGCTGGTGAATGCGCTGCATCTTTTGGAAGGCCTTGGCGCCAGCACGTCTGACACGGAAAAGTTTACAGCATCTCAGGCCTGTGCCTGGGTCTCCGAATGCTTTTTGCAGGTGGCCCGGTAGTCTGCGAACTCTTGCACCTTGGTGCACATTTAGTCATAATAGCAAAACCGCAAGACCGCCAGAACAACAACTGACTGGTGCCAAGCTACAGGAAGAAGCCTCGACATCTCCAGTGTAAACCTGGAAGGCAGGACTTTCCGAATCCGCAAGGCATGAGATGCACCTTGACGACTGCCGCTAGGGGGCTCCGGGAACATTGCTTCCGGAAAAGCCGCTGGTGTTCCAACTTCTCCGAGCACTCGGGGTAGTTCAGAACTGTGTCCAGTCCTGCTGCCCAAAGTCAAGTACGTCTTCATTCAACAAAGTACGGCCCGACGGGCAGCATTCAGCGACTTCGAAACAAGTCCTGTGATTGCATCCTCCGGGCGACTCCTGTGCGGTCTGCCCGAACAGGCCCCAGATTCTCAACAGCATGGCTCCCAAAAGCAAACTTTCCAGATTGAATGCCAGGGAGACGCCGAGTGCTAACATCAGCCAAAGCCCACCCCCGGTCTGTCTTCTCATTAACATTTGAGCTTCTTGACATCTCACGACAATGAAGGCCCTCACGCTTGAGGAACCATATGGAACCATGCTGCTTGGTAGTATATGCGCCTTGGCCAAACGCGAGGCAGGATCGGCAAAGTCTCAACATATCAGGGCATCTTAGCGCCAGACCCCCCAAACCTCGTCGCACGAATCTACGAAGCTGCTGTCCCCCGAACTGTCTGTTGCTCTGTGCGCATGTGCCAAGAAACCCTCCGCTGGGTCGACACTTGCAAGTGCAGACGTCAGACGGTCCCAAGACACACCTGCTTCCAAACACACAACTCGTTTCTTAACTTGAGAAGGTCCCGCTCCAGAAGACACGAGGCCACAGAAGTGCAAGCCCTCATCCCATCCTACAGCTAGCGCCTAGCCCTCCGACCGGCACTCCTTGCATTTGCAAGAGTCACTTGCTGCAAGAGATAACTTGAGACAACTGAACCGTCAAAGAATATCAAGGGAGAATAGGGTGGTGTTAGGGTTCTGAAGTCAAGAAAGTCACCCGAATGTTCCGATTTGAACTTCCTGGCCTGGACGAACTCAGTCTCGGCCTGGACAAGTGACACTGAGAACGGTGAACAGCTGCCATCATGAGAAGGACGCAGCAAGATGAAGTCTTAGTGGGCACTGCTGTGACACGTGCCAGTCTGCACAAAGCTGGAAGTCGTAGAAGGCTCTTGTCGGAACTGCAGATTTGGCCGGAAGCGCCTCGTTAACACCATCACAGCAAGAGTTTCCCATTGCGGCCGCAATGAGGCGTCTGAAGTTGCCCCGAGTATAGGAGGGCTGGCAGGAGGGCCGAAGCGACAGCCGTGATCTTGAACATGACATGTCGTGCCATGTAATAGCGTAGCCGTATAGCCCTTGTTGAATGTAGTGCTTGGGCCGTTAAAACTTGGATTTGGGAAAACCTGTCATAAACGTTTCGCTTGAATGCTATAGAAGTCCTCCGCATCTGTTACAAGCAATCAGCCTAGCTGACAAAACAACACAGACTTTGCGTGTTCAGACGTCTCAGCACATGTCATGTCGATGGCAACCACGTGCTCTGAACCAGAAAAGGCGGATCCATCGGCCAAAGAAACATGGATTCAACAAGCATAACAACTCACCGGTCATCACTGTCAGTCAAGGCTTGGAGTGAAAGCACAAGGACGAGCAAATGGACAAAGGCTCTCGGTGCGGAGCATCTCGAAACGGACATACGCATTGGTTCATGGCAAACTGTCCAGCCCAGAATGTTGCAAGCAAACACATTCAGGTCTGTTCGGGCGGAAGGGTAGCGAATCTAACGCAGTGAAAGAGCCGACACCATTCCAAAGTTTGGTCGTTCAACTTGCACCCGTCAAGGTTGAGCATGCGATCCGAATCCGTTCTTACGGCCTGGTCTGGCGCCGGGTTTTGGTTTGTATGGACCTATTCTGACCTCGCAGCTGACCCGTGAAGCTCAGCCGGCACAAGTATGCCAATGACCCTCTCTGAAGCCTCTTGGGGCTCGCAGCAGTCAGCTGCCAAATTACAGCAAGAACATCTCCGCAATACTGTCGCTTGAGTGCGTGTTGTGACTAGTGTCCGATTGAATGTGGTATTGCCACGGTCACAAACTGACTGCACCTCGGGCTTCCATTTTCTGGAACATCCGCGGCGTGAAGCGATTGTCCGATCTTAGCCCAGTACTGTACTGCGGCCTCCCGCAGATCTCGAGGCAGCGCCACTTGTAACGAGGTGATGGGGGCCTGATTTAGCTCTTCCTGTTCATTCTTCAGAAGATTTCTGACTTCCTAATTCCCTTGTAGTTGTTTACCGTGGGCCGCAGCGACGTTCCCTCGCCATCGTAGGACATCGCTCTCGTCCCAGCGGGACTCCACGCTTGGAGAAATCGATGCAAGGAGCACAGGCTAAAGTGGAGAGAGATGACCCTAGTTGCTGCTTTAACAGAAAGAAGTGTTTGCTCAACGGATCACACCTCGCAACCTAGCGACTCTTGCCCCACGGGTAAACTGAAAAACTGAGCGATGCTCAACAAACTACCATGCTTTAGACTTGGAGCATGTGCACCTTCGAGGCGGATCAAACTCCTATGTCGCGAGCAAGGAATGCAAGAATCTTGCCACGCGTATTGCAACTGGCCTGTTGGAATTGTAGAGCATACTTCGCAAATCCTTCGTGAAGAATGCGCGCATCGTAGTAGCAGGGGGTTTATAGACTTTAGACTACACCAGGTGGGCTGAAGCTGAAGCAGCGAATACTGCCGGAGCATGAGCGCAAAAACTTGAAAATTGAGTAACCCATGCGGCACAAGCCGCAAACCTGCTGGCATGCTAAATCGGGATACGGGCTCTGCAACTTCACCAGTCTTTCTTGCTATATGGCTACGACTGCCAATTTACACAATTTCAGTTTGCCTGCGTGGGAACCTTCTCCATCAGGGCTAGTTACAGCAGAGATCCTAACCCAGGAAAGACAAAGTAAAGGATCTAGATTTCACCCCAGGCTCTTCGTCTCCCAAGCTTTTCTGACCATTCTTCCAGGTTGCTGTGGCGCACATTTGTGGCCATTGCGGTGCTTCGTGGGGGTTTCACCAGTCACACTCGGACAACACCCGGCGACACAACTGTCAGGCATGCAATCATGAAGCTACTACAGACTATATCGGTCTGCGCGCCCCTTCCCGATTAATGTTGGATCCCGATTAACAAACCCCCCCCCCGCCCCCCCCCCCCCGCTGTCAAGGTTAGCCCGCTTGAACTTGTTCATGGGTTCAAGTTTTTCCCGGCCCCCCCCGATTATGTGGGGATGGGGTTAATTATCAAGTATAGTAGTAAGTAGATACAGAGTACTTAGTAAAATATTGCAGTCGTACAATAGGAGTACAGTAGTATAGTAGTAGTACAGTAGTACAGTAGTACAGTAGTAGCACAGTAGTATAGTAGTATTACAGTAGTATAGTAGTAGTACAGTAGTACAGTAGTACAGTAGTAGTACAGTAGTATAGTAGTATTACAGTAGTATAATAGTACAGTAGTAGTACAGTAGTATAGTAGTTTAGTACGGTTTAGGGTTCAGGGTTTGGGGTTTAGGGTTAAGTCATAAGCCTCTAAATCCCCTAAATCCTTACTTCGGGGATTTTCGGGGATGGCCCCGTCTAATCGGGGGGGGTTTAGGCGAGCTCCGGTACTATAGGGGTGGGGTCTAATGGACTTCTTCATTTAGCCCATGACATGCCCGGGACGGCCCCGTCTAATCTGGGGGGGTATCTTAATCGGGAAACGACATTATGTGGGCTGCATGCCTGCAGGAACGTTTGCGCACTGATGTACATCTGCTGCTGCTGCTGCGAGACTCCACCTGGCGCGTCAGGGCTCTACAGTGAAACGCGATCCACGGAAAGCAGAAAATTGCGGGTCTCCACCAACTTGGCTGGTTCTGTCCCCCCCTTCGCAGGCACGGCTGGCAACACAGCGTCACTCAGGAATTCCTCGGGTGCCACCTGACCCGCGCAGGCATGCCACGCTCTAGACAGGAGCGCCAGCAAGCACGGCAAGCCAATGAGAGCAAAGAACCCACCGACGAGCGTAATGATAACCGAGAGGAGAGCAAAGATCCGAAAGGCGTGTGCAGAGCCAAATCCGAGCATGGCCACACCAAGGAAGGCTGTCAAACATCCCTGGAGTACGTCAAAGCTGCAGGACTCTAGTGAGAGCCGCATACGTTGGTCCCAAGGTGTCCCTGGCGACACACCGTGGTCGGCAAAGTGCACAACGTGGAAGCTGTAGTCGACGCAAAACCCGATCGTCATGACGCAAACTGTAAATGAAATGAGGTTGCTGGTGATACTGCAAAACCACATAAATCCGAACAGCACACACGTGACAGCACACACGTTAGCTAGTGCCAGGATGGCTAGGTGAACAGGCATGGTGATCCCCACTGCGAGGAACACCCCAATGAAGGCAAAACCGGCCGTGCTGAAAGTCTTGTCCTTGATGATCCGGTAGCGAGCTGTCTGCGTCGGGAAGCTCAAGTGATACGGGATGACCTCCAGCTCCGGAAACCCGTCCTTCACTTGGCTGACTATGTCCAGTGCTTGCTGACTGCGCTTCTCCGCGTCCGTCGGCTGCCACAGAAAGGCCCGACACCGCGCTGCTCGCAAATGCTCTGTGACACCGCCCTTGGCATCCCGGCCACTTACACCTGAGTTGTTCAGGTACGTTAGTATGGCGGTGTCCACCTCGCACATGGATGCGGAACTGCTCAAGGAGCCGACTGCTCGATGGAGCCAACAATCGACGGGCAGTGCCAGGTCCGACCTGTTGTTCAGTGCTGCGATCAACTCCGACATGCGACTCCGGTATGATGCATCAAGAGTCCTCGGTGAGTCGAAGACAAGACCGAGCTCAATAGGAAGACTCCCGACGAAGGAGCTTTCGACGTCCGCGAAGTATGCGTTCACACGGGAGGAGTCGGTGACTAAATCCGTGTCCGGCATACCCCGTTCCACCTGGAGCCCGAAGTAGGTGCCAAGTACAGTCAGGGCAATCCACATCGATGCTCCAAAGATTTGGAAAGAAAGGCTGTGCTGGACGGCATAGCCAAGCTTGGCAGTCATGATACCCCGAAGTTTGCGTCCGCCTCCCATGGCCAATCTAGCCTTTGCAGCAAAGCCACTCTTCGGCTCCTCACGGACGGTCATGTTGCGCTGGCTCAATGTGATCATCGCCGGGAACATGATCACCATGCCTAGCCGATGCTTTGCCGGTTATCAGCCAGATCACCACAAAGCACACCGGTTTTCAACATCACCAGCTTCGTCTTCATCATCAGCGGCATCATCACCAGCATCACACTCATCCACTGCACGGTCTCTTCGAGCTTGCAGCTTATTGTGATGATGTCAATGTTGATGACTTTCCTTCATGCCCGAAACCGGGCACGGTCAGTGTGTGTCTGGCCAGCTTGGGCATCTAGCAACAACATAAGGCAATGCCAGCTGCAGTAGTTGCAAGTTGCACAGGCAGAAGTAGACTAGTTTTGTTGCCTCTTTCAGCTTTGGCCACTAGTCACTAGCCGACTAGCCTGCATATCCAGTTCATGATGAGAACCAGGACCAGGCCAATGTTGAACCAGAAGAAGCTGGGAAGATCAGCACTTGTGGCAGCCGCGATGGAGAAGGCGGAGACCGATGTCAAGGTCGTGGTCGTTGCTGCTCTGCCGCCGCGGGGGAGGGCTTTCACCATGACCTCTTCCATGTTCTTCACGTCCGGGCCGACGGCGTTGACTGAAGACACCATCAAGAAAATAATGTCAACGCCTACGGCGAGACCCAAGAAGGGCACCATGGTGCCCAAAACGCTCACTCCGTGTCCCAAGTAGCCCAACAGGCCGAAGCTGGCCAAGCCGGACAATCCTGGAATACAAGTCCCTCCCAACACAACTTTCACCTGTGAGTTGCCGGGAAGTCTCGTGTCAGTGCCAAGCATAAGAACAAGGTAGCCCGCCATGATGGAAATGGTGATTCCAATGAGTGGGACGTTGTCCATGCCAATCAGCAGACTTTCCGTGGCAATAGTCGAAGAACTAAACTGATTGATCCGATCGCATTCTCCGGGTAGCCCTTTTCGTTGATGTCCTTTGCGGCCTGCTTCGCGAGGGCGTGAGGCTGTGGAGGTTTCTGAGGGTTCAAGCTGAGGGCTTCGGGTGTCGTTTCGGCAGAGAAAGGACGAAAGACACAGCGGCCGAATATTATAGAACTTGGGGGGGGGGGGGGCACTTCTTGAGGTTCTGGGCCGGACGGGGCACCTGCTTCTCGAAGCGAACGCCATCCTCGGTGTCCATCAGCGAGAACGTCGACATGGCAGCAGTGCCTTCAAGCAGCCATTCACTGAGAGAAGCCTCGCTGGCATGAGGGCCAGGGAAAGGTCGCGACGAAGCAACGAGTAGCGGCAAGCTTGCACGTTGCGGCATGCTCATCTCAGCCACGAGCAACGCCGCTGCCGCATGGGCAGGCGTGCTCCCGTCCCGCTCCAGTGCTTCGAGCTCGGCAAGACGGGCTGCGACATCGTTCCCAAGAAGTGTGGCGGTGGCACTGCTTACCATGCATGGCGAAGCCGAATTGAACCTTTCGCAAACGTCACGGAAACCCAGATGTCCGTCAATCGATTCAAAGCGGGTTGCTTCGATCTGCTGCTCTGCTTTGTGTATCTGTCGCAGCACATCAGAAGATACGAGCCGGTGTCTATTCAGCGGTCTGGCAATGAAGACAAAGCTTCTCGTGTCCGGGAAGACATCTGTCCCACGCATGTAGTCTCTGTACTCCTCGGTCGTCTTGAAAGTAAACGTGTCCAAGAAGCCCGTCTTGATTCTCAGGATGCCGAACATGCTTTCCGAACCCGGCAGTAGCAGCATTCCCGGGATACATGCAAGATATGCTGTCAGCGATACTGCAATGGCAAGAACAGGGTATCTTGTGATCCATCGGGCGAGGCAGCTGAAGAAGCCTTCCTGGGCTTGGCCGACAAGATCCGAAGATGCAGAAAGGAGTCGCTCGAGTCGCAGCCCTCTCGGGTGGCCTGGCGCTTTTTGTGTGGCCATGGCTGACGAAACCTTTCCGTAGTGGGAATCGTGCTGTGAATGGTATAATTCTAATTACTATACTAATAGGTACTATTGTTACAAATACTAATATTTACTGTTATTACTAATACTATACTAATAGTTACTGTTATTACTAATGCTAATTAATTGACGCTGTACTGAACTCTGCGGCCGCTCTTCGGGGAGGTAGCGAACATTTCCCTTGCACAGAGATCTACGTGGGAGTGGAAGTTCTTTGGCGAGGGCGCCTTCGATCGTACTTCGAACTGGCAGTCGTAACTGCTGATTTCACATGAACGAATGAATATCCATACTGAGAAAACAAAACAAACACATCAGAAGATGAACATACTTCACTATATATCTACATGCTATGCATGAAGAACCTGATGAGCCACGATCTTGTGAGATTTCAAGAACGGCATTTTCTTTCGCTGCCACTGTTACTCTGCAATTACTTTGGATCTCCATGATATCTTGAACTTCTTGCCATGTCCGTTCGGGAATTACCAGTGTTTGCGCATGGTTGGCTGCGTCTTGATGCTCTTACAAGCCCTCGTTTGGGTATGAATCTTCGCTGAGAGCCCCCCCCTGACCCGTTTCCAACGTTCTCATCCGCGGTCTCCTGTACATATTCGAGACATAGCAGCATCAACGCTGGTCTTGCATCCACCCGAAGGCCTGACAGTTTTGTCCTGGCCCTAAGATGGATTCAGACAATCGTAGATCACGAGGAACATCACAGCCGCCAGCTTGGACTTGGTGCCGTCCAGCGGCGTCACATCACAGAACCTGAGGGGAGGAGCCGGAACTTGAGCGCCCCGAACGGTCACAGGTTCAGTTCAGCCCGAGGGGCATCTCTCTGATCGGGATCGGCTCGGGGTCCGCTCCGGGTTGAAGTTATTCCACACGTCTTCGAAGTATCCGACTTCCTGAAACACATGGCGCAATGCAGGAGAAATGCAGGGTTCAGGATCAACGGATGCTCTAAAGACGAGACGAGCTTCTGGAAATCCAGTTCGCCCAGCGGATAAGATCCGAGCCTCGGCTCTTGCGAAGCAGCGTCTATGCGGTAGCGTACTTTTCTAGCTCTTCTGAGTACTCAGGTGCCGAACCGTCTGCAGAGACACGGCTGTCCCCAGTTGGCGTAGTGCACCCATGGCCTCAGAAATTGCCTCGTTTGAACGGAAACACGACATCGACCAACATCACGCCAAGTTCGTGGAGATACGCACTGATGGACGCGGGATGAAACAAATGCAAGGCAAAAGGCAATCGCTTGTGGAAGCAGATGCCTGACAGACTCTGGGTCTGGATCGAGATGCTGCAATCAATTCATGCAGGGGTGGTGCAGGTAGGGATTCTGCGATTTTGGGTAACATTCATGGCGTGCTGTCGCTTCACCTGGCCTCAAATCGAGCAGGCGCACCACGTCCCGAGGTTGTTGAGGCAACTTTGGAACGTTCGTAGATGCCTGTCAACGCCAGCATGCATTCTGAGTGGACTTGGCATGGCCCAGCATCGTCAAGACGAGCCGCTGCAGCCGCGGCATCGGCAGGGAAGCCTGCCCGAATGGCCTGTGATTCCAGCATCGTCAAGCCCAAGGCCGACTCCAAGGCACCGACCTTGGCGAGGCGATTCGAAGCCGCCGGAAGCAGGCTGCAAACGCTGGAAGCGAGAGCTGGTCGGGTCACGGAGATGGGGGGCGCAAACGGGGAGAGAGAGGTGCAATGCCGCTCAGTGACAAGACCCTCCAGCTCTGGCACCCAGGTTTGCAGGCGACTTCGCCGCCAGCTTTCCGAAGGCCAGTGGTACTTCAAGACGTAGCAGTTCTGCAAGCAGCGTCGAGCCTGCGGCACTCCACACTTCGACAGCTGACACAGCGACAGCCTGCGACACTTCTCTGAAAAAGAGTTCTCCAGCAGCGAAGCTGCGGCTCCTGGATGCAGGCGAGCAAACCTTCCCAGGCTGCCTGTCCTTCCGTAGCGGCAGGAGGAAGGACCCTTCTTCTTCGAAGATTCGATGCGATTCCAGATGTCAAACGTGGTTACATCTCGGATCCGTAAGCTCTTTCGGATGGCTGTTTGCTATCTTTTTCGGGATGGGGGAAGGGTGAGTGCCAAGCCAAGCTGCGGCAGCCGCGTGACTCGCGTGACAGCGCCGACACGAAAGAGTCCTGAAACCGCAGTTGCGGCAATGTCAAGGTTGAGTCTTTCTGGCCCTGTTGCGGATCGTCGACAGCAGACCGCAACTCATACGGTAACGCTTTCATAAAAGTAAGTAGCATACAGCCGAAGCGCAGAAACATCAACCTACTGTTGCGAAGAAAGAAGCCAAGAAGCCTGCTGCGGGCGGGCGAAGCTCTTTTGCAGCTGAGGCTCGGCATCATTTCCGGAGCGAGGCTCTTGAATGCTGATCCCTAAATCAAACTCCTGGCGCAGAAAACTTCCAATCGTGCGTACAGCGGGCATGTGGCATCTCCATGTTTTCCGCCTCTGCCAGCACCAGAAGTGCTCGGAAAAGAAGCTTCCTTGGAACGGCAGACCCACTAATCGGATCACTTGTAACGGATCAGGCCGTGATGCTAAGCGGATCGAGGGCGCCATTCAGAGAACCATGTCCAATGGTATCAGATTACGGGTCCCCAAACCCGAAAGCCTACAAACCCTAAGGCCTCAATGCAGATCTGAGCGAAGAATCCGGTACACGACACCACTTCACAGTCGAAGCAGTTTCCTGCAGCTACCTCCCTGGAGCATCGAGTCCCCTACCTTGATCACCTACAAGCATTCGGGGGGCACGGGCGGCAGCACGCACCCACCGCTGGACCCCCAAAGCTTGAATTCGATGACAGGCGTCATCCTCTCAGGTTGTCGCTCGTTGGCAGTCCAACCTTCAGACATCGCGAAGGAAGCACCACTTGGGAATTTCTGAGAATTATAGGGGGTACCTTGTTTTGGGGGTCCTTACACTACGGCTATTGAGGGCACTATATTAGGGACCCCTATTTTCGGAAATGCTCTTTTGGCCTCGGCCATGCCCCCCCCTCCCCCCCAAACAGGTAGTTGGACATTTTCATAGGTCCCATGCATCCTCTAAAAACCCGATGCGATGCAGAAACATCGATGTGTGGCACAAGCAAACATGCTCCACTGCCTTTGCCACCTGAAGCTTGTCCGGCTACGAAAGGACGAGGTCATGCCATTCATTGTCGCACGGGAGCACGCCTGGTAAGCACTCCCTCTGCAACTTCCACCTGACAAAGGTCAAGATCGTCACAGGTACCGTGCTTCACTGGCCTGCACTTCCTTCTCCCTTGCTTGTCTCTGTCTTATTTGGGGGTTCCGAAAATGGAGGACCCAAATATAACCCAAATAGAAGGATTCTGATTACAAGGACCCAAAATGAGGTACGAGTACCCTTAATTTTCGGAAACTCCCATTTGGAAAAGCAAGGCGCAGCTTGGCATCTTGTGCGGAAGCCCCGGCTGTCGGAGCTTGGGGGCCAGCCACGCCGGAAAAGCCGCCCTTGGGTCCGGGAAGTTGGTGGGAACAAGGCGGGTTTGCACAGCTCAAGTAGGAGTTGGGCCGCAGATGCTGGAAGACGGCACTGGTAGTAGTCGAAGCCTCACAGTAGGCGCTCTTTTTCCTAGAGCAAGCGGCAGTGTCTGGACGTCTAGGCCTCCTGGTTGCCCTTTGTGCAGTGCCCAGTCTTGTCCACAGATGTAGCCTGAGGCGAGCGAGGGAAAGCAGTGCGGAATGTGCATTGGCTAGATCTGGCAAGGAGCAGAAGTGGCGACCGCAAACACTGCAGATCCTCGGTGTCCACGGTACGGTAGCTTTAGTCAGCTTCCTTCCCGGTCAAAGGTTTGCATGAGCGACCCCTCTTCTGTCTCTCTCACGAAAACACTGCTGATGATGCAGTCTAGGTGCATGTGGTTGCATCCACCATTTCTCTGGATGCTAGCTCCGCATGTGCATGTTTTGGAGTTTTGGCTCAGCCACTTGTTCGTTTCCTCGGCTCAAGAGGTTCTGCAGTGTGACAATGCGACTCAGCCAGCGCAAACTATTTTTCAGACGAGCCGCATCCTCCATCTGCTTCCGGACTTTCGCCAGATCTCCCAGAAAATCTTGCCATGGCTGGCACGGGACCTCTGCGAAAAAAACAAGAAAGGTAAGAGAGCCCCGGGGCCCCGAGGCATCGGCAGGCTCATGGCCGCCTAAAGCCTTGCAGTTGAAGCAGAACTGAGCGCCGCAAGAGCAAACTGCAGTTATTGACCTGAGCGGGGCCGCAAGAAGAGACTGAGACTGAGATTGCTTCTCGGATGTGCAGTCGAGGAACATGGATTTGCCGTTCTGGTTCTCCTGTTCTGTGACGGGCGCACTGCAATTCCGAGAAGTCCCGCCGCTCCCGCCTGGCGCGGCACCGACACGGCCCGTCCACAGCCGGGAGCTGGGCACCAGGCCTCGAGGACAGAAAAGCGCTCGCTTTAAGAGGCGGAGTTTCGAGAAGATCTGAGTTCTCCGACCATGTTCTTGTTCATGTCCACCTGGCGACGCTGCGACATTCCCAGCCCTCCCAGTTCACTCAGCTGGGCTGCTTTCCGCTGGCTGGGGTGCCGGGCAAACTTCAGTGTCTTCAGCTGCTCCAGCCGCGTCTGCTCCTCAGGAAGATCTAGATTCTCCGCTTTCCGACCGAGCTTCTGAGATTCTGAGAATGGCAATGCGGCCGAGGGGCTTGACTGCCGGATCCGAAAAGCAGGCACAGGATCTCTTCTGAAATCGGTACGCGGCAGTTCGGCTCAGGGCAGACGACGCCTGTTACATCGCCCTCGTCCAGTCGAACCTCAACACAAGACCCTGCGAGGCGCAAACAACTCTGACTCTGACTCTGGCCTTCACATGCATTCCCAGGCAATCGTCGCAAGTCCGATGCTTGCATAGCAGTGTTCGGCAGGCTGATTTCGTTACATCCACTTCATCGAAGCATACGATGCCTTGGCTCCCACAAATGCGACGAGGACTCTCTAAAATGGAAGACTCCCAGTGCCAAAGCACACACTGCCGGAGCGGCTCGGTCGCTTTCAGCCTGCGTGGACTGCATCCTGAGATCCGACCGAAAGCTTTTGCCAGAACCTCAGGCCGTAGGCCGCCGTAGGCTTGTCCTCGTCGCAGCGCTGTGCTCCGTGTGCTCTTCTGCAGGACGGAAGTCGACACTTCTCAGCCTCGACAGTGTGCCACTTAGCAAAGCGCAAGAAGTGCACACGTCGGCCAAGCGGCCCTGCGGCATCCAAGGCTTCTCGCGGAGAGATGCGAAATGCGGCCGCCGCTGCCTCTGTTCTCTGCTCTGTCGAGACCGAGCACTTTCATGTTCGTGCTCATGACATGCAGCCATGCAAGCAGCAGGCGCGTAAGCGCACGCACCTGGACGTCAAACATGTGCTTTTGCAACATGGCTTCGGCTGCATCTCGAGGTAGCAGCTGCGGTGATCGCGAGTTGCTGGCGACCACCAAGCCTCAGCTTAGACCAGAGTTCAACCCGACGGCAGACATTCGGTCGCCGCGGATCTGCCGGATCCGAGCGACCGCACAAGTCCTGGAGCTGACGAATCCTCGGCGAGAAAGCGAAGAAGAAGCAGAAGAAGCATGAAGAAGCGTGAGGTAAGGAAGCATGGGCCGAGGATCTGCTGCTCCAGCGCTGAGAGCAGCTGCGTCTCTTCGTGCACCACATGCCGAGCAATCGCCACGTCGCCCAAGGACCTGAGTCGGAGTGGCTGGAACAGCACCACCCGGATGGCAAAGACAAGGCGAAAGTCTGATGGACGTCGGGATGCCCATCTGGGTTCAATCGGCCCAGCGCGCCAGACAAGCATTCTCGGAGAGCTTGCCGCTGTTGTGGCAGCTTCCTTGCAGGCTTTGCAGTCGGTGTCAACTCGTGCAAGAGTTTCCAATGAGCGAAGTCACAAGAGCCCCTGCCACTGGCCGAAGTCGCCAGCGAGCAGCCTTGCGCAAACCACGTGGCCGTTCCTGAGGGCCACCTCCCACGAAGCGCAGCAGGGGCTGAGATTTCGGAGAACGCCAGAACGCCGAGAAGGTGAAGGATGCGATCGCGAGATGCAATCTGCTTTCAGCTTCCGTTCCGTCCGCACTACACGGTGGACTACCTTGGCGTGCTTGGTTCGGAATCAGCAACCCGAAGCCAATGAACTCCCTGAAAGTCGCAGGGCAACCGCCTCGCAGGGCGAATCACCATGGGCATCCTCCGCCGTGAGGAGACATCCAGCTTGGCCCTGCAAGGACGATGCCCGGCGTACACTGTGGTAGCGATTTACATGGAGATTCTCTACATTATTGCGACCATTGCGGGGGGGTTCGGGCACCCCTATCCCGCACCTTTGCATGCGCGTGCCACGCAAGGATGGAGATGCGTCTGAGAAGGCAGGCACACAGACATACATAGATACATATGCACTGACACACATACATCTACGTCGTATCTACGTGTACATGCTGCGTGTGCACATATCTTCGATCTAGACAAATACTGCGTAGCTGCATGCAGCCCTTGCCTCTTCTGTGTAAACAGCAGCGCCTATCGCTTCCACCTCGTGGCCCAGCAGTGACAGCAGCTCCTGCAAAGCTCGTGGCAGCGCGACCTCAAAGCCTGAAATCATCGGAACCACAGCTTTTCCGACGGCTTCCAGGTCCCTACGAGTACCGTCGCTGCCGATCCTGGGCCATGGCATAGGACCCGGAAGCAGCCGCGCAGTGCAACGGCGTCTGCGCTGCCGCGTTCACGACCTGAAGCCTGCGATGAACTCGGATTACAAAGAGGGCTTGGGTTCAGGAGGAGTGGTGGCGGGTGAAAGATGTTCAGAGCCTGCAGCAGAAGAACACTCGGCCTGCTGTTCTCTCGCGTGTGGCTTGCAAGTGAGGACTCCGTTCGGGGTTTATGAGTGGAAGAATTGCAAGGCTTGATGAATGGCATCATTTTAACAGGAGGTGCTGCTGTGCTCGTCCGGCGCACGTCGGGCCGCGCACTCTCTCCACTGGTTCTTGACCGAGGAGCTGCGTCAGCGGCAGCCGCCCACTCGTCGCAAGCTCGTGCAGAAGCCGCGCGCGGCGCTCGTCGGTCAGCTCCTGTGCTAGACTTGCAGGGGAAGGCAGGTCGCTACACAACGGGCCCCAAGCACCTGACCTAGGAGGTTCAATGCCCAAACGGGTCTCCGGCAGCTTCCAGAGCCGCTGATCTCGCTGCGTCCAGACCAGGCAGCGCTGGGCCGCCTCGGCCGCAGCCACAGCGGCACGGCCTCCGAGGGAGAGCCCGGCCCTCATTTCCAAGCTCTTTCCGCCAAGGTTACGGGGGGCAGGTGGATCCGTTCAGTGTCTGTGCATCTTGCACTGTCTCCCCAATGATGGCATCTTATCAAACTCCTCTGAGTGTGAAGCCAATGATGGTCCCTTACATCCAACTCCATGCAATGCTGGCAGGGCTGGGATGGCTGCCTTCGCCCACGCGGTGCTCCCCACGTGCCAGGTAGTGGATGGGCATCTCGCCCGCATCCTCGTCATCGTAACCTGCCGCACAGAAGCGTCCGACTCGCCCCGACCGAAATGAGACAGAGAGAACGGTTGGACCCGCCCTCGCGGCCACGAATGCCGCCAAGATGCTGAAAAACAGGGACGCTCTGCTGGCGGAGGCCCGGGAGGCCGGCGTGCCATGGCCTGTGGGAAGCGGAAGCGCGCCAAAGCCGCTTTCAACGCCGCCTCGCTAAGTGGCTTGGGAACGCAAAGGGCCTCGTTCCGAGGGCGACAGCGAGGCCGGAGACATTTCAGCATCTTCGGGCACTCCTGATCGAGATGTTCTCGTCTCCCTTCGTGTTTCGACTCTGTAATTTCACCGGGAGCCGGAGCTACCGGAAGGCCTTCAGACTAAGCTCCGCCCCTGTCCTGCACAGCAGGAGCAGCGGCACTGGCAGTGCATGAGGCTCAGGAAGACGCAGCGATACATGCGCCACCTTAGGCCGTTCTTCAAAACCTCAAGCAGCAGCAACCCAGAGTCCTTTGGCGACTCTGGCTCACAGAGCGGGAAAGACAGGCCGGAGCAGCAGAGCACGACACCGCCGTTCTCGGAAGTCCAGAAGGAGGTCCGCTATTGTTTCGTCTCCATAAATCAAGGCTTCTCTCCTTACTTTGCACCGCTTCAGGCCAAGTTCCATGCTGGAAGACACCGACACCGAAGACCGAAGACGGCACCACGGCCAGGCACGGCCAGGCTCGGCCAGGAGTCAGGATGCGCTGCGCCCGCCGCACTCGAGGTCGCTTTGCCCGTGCCGCCTCTTGTGCCTCTCGAGTCCGCCGCCGGTCCTGCAGTGTCTCTAGCAGCTTGGCCGCTGACACTGACTGAGGCTTGATCTGATAATCCAAGCACTGCAATAGAGAAGGCAGCCCGCATCCCGCAGTCGAGGCGACCGCTGCAAGGGGCTCCTCAGCACCCTCGCGCCAGGAACTCAGGCAGGAGTTGCAGGTGCAGCCTCGCCATGTGCAGCATGTGCAGCTTAAGCGCTTGCACCCCTGGGACTGTTGGAGTGAGCGCGTGGCAGCAGAAAAGAGCGAAAGGGCAGAGGTGCATCAAGCAAGTCGACATGACCTGCCAGACTGCACCGGGTCACCGGCCCATGTCATGCCCTTCTTCGGAGTGTAATAAGGAAGGCACGTAGGATCTTTCGACATCTCGGTCACAGCTTCCTGTAGCCACGTAGATCCTGATGTGCGGGTGAGCCGGGTCATCAAGGGTTTGGACTCACTCGCAACAGCAGGCAGGGTCTGGATAGAGGGAGTGATGTGCCATGATGCAGTGCCAAGCTGCAGCAGGCAGATGGAGACCACCGCCAGAGCAAGCACCGCGAGAAAGGACATGGAAATCATGGGGAACACCACCCATTCTCCTTACAGTGCAACGGGTTGCTACTGCATTTGCGCATTTTGCTGCAGTGTTACGTGCTGCGCTCAGACCTGACCTTTGCCAAGAGGCGAGCGATGCAGAAGCAGCAGAGCCAGCCCAGAGCCACACATCCGAAGACGGAGGGAAAGGCAGCTGCCCAGCCGACCTCAGACGCCAGAGAGAGAGAGATAGAGAGAGAGCGAGAGAGACAGGGAATCACAGTCGCAATGGCCTCGTTACAGGTGATGGCTTGACCCTGCGCGAAGGGATTGGCCCAAGTGTAGGGGAAGCTCAGCCAAAGACCTCTGCGTGACGACACAAACAGCTCCAAGCAGCTCTCTACGGGGTCCAAGGCCGGGACTCGCCATAAGTGAGGCCGCAGACATCGAGAAGGAGATCAAGCGGGAGCACTGGCCTGAACGAGAAAAGAGTGTCTGAAGGCTTTCATCTTTGGATCACTGAGCTTTGGACGCTCGCAGTCGCAGCGGCATCCCCGACATTGCTGAGCCCCCATGGCCGATGGTGGAGAGGCCACCACTCAGCAGTGCTCAACAGGTTCTTCTTTGGTTGCTTGAACCACCCGACATGACGGATGGCAGAGTATGGTTCTGGTGCTGGACTACTCGCGGTTTTTGCAAGTTGGCACGGAGGAACCGGCTTTGTACTGCCAGCAAAGGATGGCTGCGGCAAGCTCACAACGCAAATGAAGCAGAGCACAGACATCCTCCGCGGGACTTCCAGTTTCTCACGAGCGCCGCGAGTGTGACCAGCATCGCCTCAATCCTCCTCAGGCTCAGACTCTCAGACTCTCAGACTCGCTCTCCGCAGGAGACAAAGCCCCTCTGTGCACTTCAGATGCATCCGAGCTGCAGGCTTGGGCACCAAGCGATCGCCGATATACAAGTAGCCATCACCTCCACAACAGAGAAGCCCGCCTTACGATGGTCTGCTCCGCCATGCCCGCCTGTCTTCTCCAGAAATCTTTGGATGCCCTTCCCTCAACCTTCTGCACATAGGAGGCCAAGAGGGAAGCCACAGTCCTCTAGAGACGACGAAACGACAGAGAGCCTCTCCCGATGATATGGCCATCTGCTCCGGTCTCCCGGTCTTGCCTGAAGCTTCTGGATTCATGCTCTCCTCAGCCGGCTGCGCCACCGCTGCTCTCACTTCCTTGATCGCCCGCGAGACTCGTTTTGCTCAGGCGCCTGCAGCTCCCAGTAGAGTGCCAAGTCCACGTAGCTCACGGAGCCTGTTCCCACCGAGGCTGCCGAGCAACCAGCCTGAGATGAGCAGAGGCTCGAGAAAGGAACGTCTCGACTCTCTTCCCTTGCCTGGCCCTGCCTGAGGAGGACTTCTCCAGCAAGTCGCTCCAACACGTCAGGGCAGCCACCGTCTTCTGTGTGCTGTCGAAATCCAAGAATTCACGCCGCGAGATGGCCTGCCGTTCGCACACTCACGCGCAGTCGAGACGTCGAGACTCGAGACAAAGGGCTCTCTGCACCTTCATGTCTGCAGTCTGCCCCAGAGCGGTGACTGTGTCAGGCTGGAGCGCCGCCAATCTCCTCGGCTCCCCGGCGCGAAGAGGCTCAAGCCGTGCAGGCCCTGCGTCCTAGTAGCCATCAAGCTTGCCCTCTGTCTGGAGCATCTCATGCCTCAGCTCGTTTACGATGTTCAGTTGGCCAAAGAGCTCGATCTGACTATCTCGATCATGCCGATTTGCAGCATGTCGCAGCTTGCCCTCTCGTCTTCACCCTTGCCTGCCAGTCCGCAGAGATTCGCGACATATCCTCAGGGAAGCGAGCAGGTGATGAGATGCAGCGAGCTTCAGGTTGCTCCACTGCGAGAATTGCAGCAGGATCACGGAGGATGGCCTTCGACTGCACCAATTCCGTCCCCTTCAGTGTTCGAAGAAGTGGCCACCGCCCGAAGATGAGCGTCGGCTTCAGCTTCTCCCGGAATTCCGGCTCGGCAGGGCGGCTTTGGGTGGCTCAGCAAGTTGTCGCAGTGCGCTGGCAACACAGAATGCAGCCATGGCGCAGACGTGACGACCTTGAGCATGTAAGGATACCCCGCGTACTCCAAGCACATCTGGGGCAAATGTCCCAAGCTCCGGAGTGCAAAGTAGATCAGCTCAACCTGACATCTCCAGAACTACCAAGACAAAGTTCTCAAACTGCAGCTGTGCTGCGGGTTTGGCCTTTGCAAACTTGCCGATCCCGGGGGCCGCCAGTGTCCAAAGCTGAGGACCCTCGTAGGCGTTTGGAACCTAAAGGCACCGGATCGGGAAGGCCTTTAGAGAGGTTTCTTCTCGTTCACATCTTGCGTGCAGGGCCGGGACGCCATGAGCCCCCCAGCTTCGAAGAGTTGCCGTCTCACTGTCAGCGGGTCGTCGCCATACTTCGCTGCCTTGGCCTTCCTTGTGGAAAGGAACCCCAAGGGCGAATTTGAATGCAGGAGCAAATCTTCGTGCACCGCCCAGCTTCCGTGCATCGCTGCTGGCCGGTCGCTTCATCTTCAGAGAGATGCGCTTTATCAGCTTTGAGCCGATACCCGCACGGACAGAACATCGGTCGTATTGTCATTGCATGCTTGAGGCGAAGCTCTCGAGGCTGGTGGAGATGTGTTCGACATCCTTCCACCAAGTTGTGATCGTAGGCTCTTTCCAGCCGCACTACTGGCAATGGTTGGGTCCTGGGCCAAACCTTGTCTAGCGGGGTTCCGAGGTCCACGACATCTGTGCTGCCGTGCGTGGCTCGAACACGAATCCGCTCAACGACTCAACGATCGGCGCAAATAACTCTCAGCGTTCCGGCGGCTTGAGCGGCAGGCGCTGGAGCGCTGGACCTTCATATGATGCAGGCTGCGGATGCCAGCAGCTTCGTTTTTTTTGATATCTCCGACTGCCGTTGCTTTGGGAGAGATGCTACTTGACTGAACGCAGCTCGAGAGACAGGAGATGCCTCCGGATCCGCCTTCAGACCTGTCCACATGCAAGTCTGCAAGAGATGCCCTTGGGCATGGCATTGCTCAGGGCCGATTGGAGAACTGGCCACATGCTTTGTCAAAGACTCTTTCGCTCGGCTGGAGCTGTCGGCTGTAAGCATCTCGGATCGAGCTCCGCTCAGATCCCAAAAGGTGCAGAGGCGAGCCGCGGAGAGCCCGGGGGACGAGACAAGAAGAGTTACGAATCGAATCGAGGATTACCTACCGGAGGATGATGCCTACCTGAATGCTGGTGGATGGAGGGTGTTCACTGGGCTTCGCTTCGGCCCAGCCTCAAAGCACTCTCAGGAAGTTGAAACTGCACATCGACGTTGCCAGGCGTCGGAACATGAAGGTCAGCAAGTGCTGGCCTCTAAAAGACTCTAACTCTAAAACACAGCCCACAGGGCGGTTATAAACTGTAACTTGGCTCAGTGTGCTCTCTCTTCTCTTCTGTTCCGTCCCTCACCACTGCAAATCCTTGGGCAACTCGCAGGAGGAAGAGCAATCGGAGTTACCTTTGGGGTCCTGGCGGGCGAGGGCCTTGTCCAAGACATCGTCGGGAGGGAGGTGAAGGAGCACCCTGCCATTCTCCAGCTTCACGTCGAACGTGGCCAGGTTCAGACCTGCATTGCTGATGCCCTTCCCTGTCTCCAGGTTGTAGGTATTCTTGTGGATCGGGCAAGCCACCTTCGGCACGTCGCCTTGAAAGCCAATCATTCCACGAGAGAGCACTTGCAGCTGCTTGTGCGGGCAGGAGTTCTGAGTTGCATACCACTTGCCCACAGCCACGTGGTTGTACACAGCCAGCTCGGAGTTGCTGATTTTCACGGCAAAGCCGGCATTCGCCGGAAAGTTCTCCTCCGGCCCAACATCCACCCAGCGCCAGGAGTCATTGGCATCGCCTTTGCCAATTTTCGCCGGGCCAATCACGGTGGGCAAGTCCTCCACTGCAATCTTCTTCTGCTTACGCTGGACGCTCCACTCGAGATCGCCATACTTCTTGTCATCGACATTGGCAAACTGCCTGAACTTCTTTCGCAGCTCTGGGGTGTCGACCACACGCTTCCACTCGCACTCGTAGGTACCGACTTGCGACTCCATCCGTGCATCCAGCTCCGCGCAGATGCCCAGCTTGTCGTCGACCACGACCTCCTTCAGGAAGTCGATGCCACCCTCAAGGTTCTCCAGCCACTTGGAGGTCCTTGTCAGTGGGTCAGCCGTGAAGGTGTAGTACATCATCACGCGGTCGATGTACTTAATTGCATCATCATCAGAGATGTCCGTCATGAAGAGTGTAGCATGCTTCGGGGAGGTTCCGTGGTTGCCGCAGATGTAGAGATTCCAGCCGTTGGTGGTGGCAACAAGGCCGATGTCCTTGCCCTGGGCCTCAGCACATTCGCGCATGCAGCCAGAGACGCCCATCTTCCACTTGTGGGGAGCACGGAATCCCTTGTAGCGCTGCTCGATACGATTGGCCATGCCCACAGAGTCTTGGACACCGAAACGGCACCAGCTGGTCCCAACGCAGCTCTTCACTGCTCGTAGAGCCTTGCCGTAGGCATGTCCGGATTCCATGCCATCAGTGTCAACCTTGGTCAGCACTTTACCATCTGCAGACGCATAGGCAGTCTTTCCATAGCAGAGCTCCTCCCAGATGTCTGGCAGCTGCCAGACGTTGGCACCAAAGAGGCCAATGCGTTGGGCTCCAGTGACCTTGGTCCAGAGGTTGTACTTCTTGGCCACGGTGCCCATCAAGATCAGCTCATCGGGAGTCAGCTCGCCCCCCGGCACTCGCGGGATCACGGAGTACTGGCCAGAGCGCTGAATGTTCGCCAAGAACCGGTCGTTGGTATCCTGAAGCATGTTCAATCCATCCTTCACAGGGTTCTCCTGCCACAAGGAGGCCAAAATCGAAGCCACCACTGGCTTGCAGACTTCATCTCCTCCAAGACCTTTCTTGAGATCCGCAATCTTGCCAACTCGCGCGCAGGTCTCCACAACCTCCTCCCAAGTCTTCAGCTCCTTTGTCTTGATGATGTCGAAGAGCTCCCTGCGCGTGAAGGGGAAGTTCGGGCTGATTCCTGTGAAGGGCTTCTTGCCACAAGCTTCAAGTGTGGTCTTCAGGATCTTGGGTACAAAGCCGGTGGCAAGTACGCAGCCACCGCAGCCTGCACCTGCGGTGGTGCATCGCTTGATGTCGGGAATCGTGGTACACTCCTGCTCCTTGACGGCATCGACAATGTCCTTTTTGGTGACTTTCTGGCACAAGCAAACGATCGCATCGTCCTTCAAGTCATCCACGCTCTCCTCGGAGTTCCCGCCCAAGAATAGATCCACCGGAGCCTTCTTGCCCAAGTCGTCTTGTTTCGAGAGACCAAGCAAGCTGAAGTAGTCGTCCGCATTGCCGACGAGGAGGCCCCCCATGAGTTTCTGGGTTTCCTCATGAAAGACCAGCTTCCGGTACAAGCCGCTGAAAGGATCCAACTGCATCGTGGAGGTGAGGCCCTGCTCTTTGGCTTCCTTGTCATG